CCGCAGTCTCTCCCTTCTCCCCTCGCGTTCCTGCTTTTTTTTTTTTTTTTTACGTCCGCTGCCGGGAAAGACGCGGAGGCAGAGGATGTAGCTACAATTAAAAAAAAAAAAAAAGAGCACATTGTAACGTCCTTGCGTTGCCTTGCCGTGGCGGGAGAGGAGTTTGAGGACGCGAATGACCGTGGATAGACTTGTGGGAGAGTGAGATAGCACTAGAAAGGGAAAAGAGAGGGAGAGAGAGAGAGAGAGAGAGAGAGAGACGGGTGGCGGGGAGGGGGGATCACTCAAGATGCCTCGTTTTAGCGTAATTTGTCCCGCAGACTGTGCCCTTCTGGCGTTTTGAGGGGCTGCCGCGAAGCCTGCGGAGAGAGGCTGGCTGGCTGGCAACGCTATGCTGCCTGACCCTTCTGTGTTGTGATAGCGCTGTCCGATTGTTTGGATTGAGGAAAGGCTCCCACCAACCCAAATCAATGAGGATTCTGAGGCCATTCCTTCAGAAAGGAGCGCATATGCTGCAGTGTTTCTGTGGACAACGATCGAAGTCGACCACTATCACCGACGGTGAGAGACAAACATAGCTTCAACAGCTGCCTTTGCTTTGCTTTGCATGCTTTCTCTCTTGAGTGACAGAGGGGAGGGGAGGTGGGGGGTAAGGGGGAGAAAAAAAAAAGAAAGAAAGAATGTTATTAAAAAAGAAGGGGGAGAGGATGCGAATGAGGAAAGGAGGAGGGGTGCGGGGTGGATAGGTTTCATTAAACACTCGAGTGTTTAACATCCTCCGAGTCTGCAGCAGAGAGCCTTTTCTTCTCAGTCCTTGCGCTCCTCGCGTTTGTCCCGAGTTTTGTGTGCAGTCTGCGCCCGCCGCAGATGGCTTCAGCCAGTCGGCACCAAGAGGACACAGATAGCTCCAGATACTTCGCCCCAGCCGGGCTGTATATTTACAGTGCTCCGTCTGAAGCGAGCCAATAAAAAAATAAAAAATAAATAAATAAATAAAGAGGCAATGCAGGGATCAAGTTATTAAACTTCAGGGGGCCCAGAAAGAGCTCCTGAGAGGGCCCCAAAACTAGCAGCCTGCTTCAGCACCGTGGATAGCGCCATAGCAGACTCACTCTAGGGCAGTGATTCAAACTTTTCACGTCAGAATTGGTTTTAAAGAGCTCTCACGTCACAACTGATCAACCAAACTTAAAAAAAAAAAAAATCGGTCCTTTAGTTGAAAGAAAATCTCTGAAAATCTGTTTTGTGTAGCTACTATTCAGACTCTCATAACAACAAAAACAACCCACAGACTTTACTTTGACTTAAGTCGTTCAGCGCATGTCATAACAGAGGTATAACTTGGATATGACACATTCTTATTGAACCAGACTTTTCAAATGCAGACAATGTACTATACTGCATAATATCAACACTAACTGTCATCACACACACACACACACACACACACACACACACACACACACACACACACACACACACACACACACACATATCTGTACACAACCACCACTTACCTGTTTGGCAAAAAGCCTGAGATCACTCCTATGTCCTTTAGTCATCTCAGAGGCAGCTGACTGCATTGCTACAGTTGTTCACTTGTGACATAACTGTTCCTGTTTTAAAAGGCATTAAAAAAAACTAAACCAAAAAAAAAAAAAAAAAAAAAAAAAACGGACCAGTTTTTACACAAGGAAAACTCTGCATTGTTTCGCCTGGTGCCTCCTTTTGTCACCTCTCAATTTGTGAAATTCAGGGCAGACAATTAGAAACTCCATTAAGCATAGCTGATTCCTTCGAGGTAGTTTGGACCAAAAGCAGCGCGCACACTGGGATCTGCAGGGCTCCAACTGAAAGCCCTGACAGTCCCTTCTCCCGCATCTCAGCTCGCTGTTACCTGAACCGGGTGACCTCAATCAAAACTTCAGTAGTCAGCTCAAAGGTGTTGACAGAAATGGACGCAATACTTAAATCCACGAGTTCCCCCAAAGCATCTGTCTCAAGTTGAAGTTAAAAATATTGCTGAATTTATTAGTTTTGATAACTCGTAGAGGGATGTGCAAGTAAGGCCACAGAGGAGTAAGACATAGCAAACTGTAGCAAAAATATATATATACATATTTTTGAAGTTGAACTTGGGAGTTGTTCTGGTAGTGGTCTAACCGCTGGCCCCACTGTGTATCATGATAATTTGGGGAATGTTTGATTACTAAGCAATTTTGAAACTGCTGAGTAAATAATTGGTACAATAAAGCAGGTCTGTGCTTGTTAGGAAGAAGATCTCTTAACAGACATTGTTCTCTGCAGTGCTTTATTTACTTTCTCTGCATATATTTTTTTTTTCAGTCAATAATAAGCAGAAGGAAGAGAGAAAACTTTTCTTTTTTTAATCAATGTGTTCAGTCTGGATTAAAAAAATAAAAAAAACTAACCTCAAGATGTTTTCGTGAATGGGCTTTTGGAGTTGGCATACATGTTTGCACCTGCTTTCCCTCATTGTGCGAGTCGAGCACCTGGGTTGTTTTCTGCAAACGTTAACCTGAGGATCTCATTTTGCTGACTGTAGCCTATTTAGAAGAATTTAAATGCAGCAGCTGCTATTCAGACATGTGTTTATTTTTCTGTTTGTGTTGTGAGAAGACTTATCAGCTTATCAACGTAAGACTTGTTCATGTTTTGTCACGTTACAAACACAAATGCTAATGTATTTTATTGGGGGTTTTTATGTGATAGATCAGCAAAAAAATAAAAGTAAAAATGACTAAAACTCACTTAGATTGGATGGAGGCTGTCTATAAAGCCTAACCTTCAAGTTTTGCCATTGATTCTTTATTGGACTCAGATGTGTGCTTTTACTCCGCCATTGTGTCATACACATGAATATGCTTTGATTTAGACCACTTCATTCAAGCTCTGGCTGCATGTTTCGGATTGCTGTCCTTCTACCTTTTGTCCAGCCTTTTGTAGTACTTGGCATGTTTTCTTCAAAAGTTGGCACACTTTTTTCATCTTCCTATCAACTCTGTTCCTGCTGACGTAAATCATTCTCACTGCATGATGCAGTTACCACCATGTTTACCAGTGATGATGATGAGTTTACAGTAATGTGTAGTATTAATTTTGTATGCAGGCCAAAAAACTTTCGTCTTTTAGCCTTTTAGTCTCATCAAACAAGACCGGAGCTAATCCAACTGGCTAATTGGACTTCTATTTTTTATTTTTATTTTTTTTTAACTTTCTTTTAAAAATGCCCTTTTCTTATCAGCCTTTCACAAAAGGAATATTTAGGAAGTGCACAACTAATATTTTATATGATTAAAAAAAAATTCTCCCAACTGGGCTGCGAATCTCTGCAGCTCCTTTTATCTTATCATTGGCCTCTTGCCTTCAGTTTATGCAGACAGCCATGTCTTGGTAGGTTTTAAGTTTGATCTTGCTCTTTTCATTTTCAGATGTCAGACGGAACAGCGCTCTGTTAGATGTTCAAAGCTTTAGATACAGTTTTATAACCTGACCCTGCTTTAAACTTCTGCACAGCTTTATCCCTGATGTGGCTGGTGTGTTCTTTCACAGGAGCTCTATGAGATTAAATTGCATGCAAGTGGACTCTTTTTACCGACTAGAGGAAGGAAGTTGTTTACTCTGGATTTTCTTTAGGGTTATCACAGTAAAGCGGGTTGAATAGATATATGTGTGGCACAATTATAAGATGGTTTTTGCCTATATTTGACATTAAACCCCAATGAAAAACATCAACTTTTGTGTTGGTAACATCTCAAAATTTCAAACCGAGAAGGTCCCGACTGAAAGAGAAGGTTTTCTGGTGGACACCAAAGTAGAGAAATAAATGTTTGTAAGTGGTTTCTTACTGAATTGATTGGTAGCTACATGGTTAGTTTCCAGGCTTTAGTGAATGCTAATGTGGTTTTAAATTGGGTAACTATGATTATCCTCACTGGACAAATGCTGATTTTAATGATTTGCCTCACTGTTTTTGCCCAGACAGTAGTTTTAATGTTTGTCTCGTCTTTTCAGTGGGGTTAGCGCTTTAATAGCACAAACTTCTCACGTTTATGTGATGATTTTTGTCAATACTAGAAGTGTGTTGAACAAGCAGTCTGAGCAGTGGGATTGCTTTCATTTTCTCACATTTCGGCACTTCAGCCTCCTACAGACTCAGCGAGAAAGTTGAGTAGACATTACGCTATGAAATTTTGCTCCGGCTGTTGTGAGTCAACAAATCTGCGAGGTATTTCAAGGACACTCAGAAGTGAGAAACTTGAAAGTTGGACGTAGACTTTTTTTTTTTCTTCTCTCTCCTCTTATCACGCTGTGGTTCATTTTTTTAACCACAAGATGGCATCAGACAGAAACAAGCGATTTGGGGACCGCAGGTATGCTGAGGCTTTGCTTTGTTTTACTTCAGTTATGTGCTGCAGTGTAGCATCTGTATGTTCACAGAGAAGATTTGGACTGATGCAATTAAACCTTCACAATTGTATATGCCACACTTATGAAACAGAAGCTTATGTAAAAAAACACAACAAAACAGTGAGACAATTAAAAAAAATATGTCTCCTTATGCATTAAGCGTGTGCAGAACTGTTTCCCTGCTGTTGTGTAAATCTCTCCAGGAAGTGAACACTAGTCGTCTGCAGTGGAATGAGGAAGTTAAGCAGATTCTTGAAAGGGTATACTTTATCTTTTTCTGACAAAGACATATGTCCACTTACGTAGCGCTCAGGTCCAACATGGTCCCGCTCATTTCTGAGACGTTGCCTTTGTGCTTCACACCACACAGCCTGTCTGTACGCTCAGTACCATGCTGTTGCACACAACAGCACGATATATAACAATTAATGTTGTTGATATATTTCTGAATACCGCAGTGGCATAATGATTTCTACCTCCCATCATTAGGCATAGCACAATGCCTAATGACAAGTATTTGTTCTGAATCTTATTGAGTCAATTGCTCGTTTCTAATTACACATTTTGACCATTTATTTTAGTCACGGAATGGAAAGAGCTTATTTTTCCATTGTTTTTGTCTTTTTCTAACTGTCTATATTTGCCTTTCTGTCACTCACATTAAACATCAGCCAAAAGACTAACCAGTGCCATATTCTTATCCCATGTCCTTTAAATATGTAGATCTATCTACATTTCCCCCCCCCCCTGATCTTGCTGTCGGAACAGATTTGGTTTGGGTAGAGAATGTCAAGCAAAGTCACGGAGAAAGCCTTTAAATGTTTCATGCTGTTTCATCATGGGGATGCAGGAAGTTTGCTGACCTCTTGCGTTTTTGTCCGGCAATTTTTGCATCTGTTCATAAACAACAAACAATGGTCTCTGTCAGCTTAGCTTTTAATCTATTTTGAATACAAACCTATTGCCAAGCACATGTTTGCATGCTTCTCAACGATGTTCGCATGCAGAAAATCATGCATTATTCTAAAAGGTCACTTTGGAAGACTTGCCAAAAATTTTTAGTTGGATTTCACTCCATACTTTAACCCGAGCACTCTGATGAAAGTATACTTTGTGTAACCCGCAATTAGTCAATTAGTAAAGACTTTTATTTTTGCGGGCCCACTTCCTGTTTTGCCCCAAACTTGCTAACTTATTTAAAGCCCCACCTCCAGCGCACAGTTGAACTTCATCACCTGTTCCACTGTGATTGTGGCTGGCTGTTTGGCATCTTCCTGCAAATTCATCCTGGCAAATTCATCGAAATCTTTGCATCCACTGATTTGATCTATTGAACTGTTGGCGTCCGTTACCTGGGCCGTCACCGGGATTGAAACAGCTAATTGCAGTCTAGTACGCCCCACTTTCTTCCCAAAGGTCGTTTTTTTTTATTTTTTTTTTATTCATGATGGGTCAGATCCTCATCTGAGTCCAAGGATGGCGAGCTAAGGACGAAGAACAAGAACTCTATGATCTTGGAATTGATTTATTTTGAGTTAATTTGTCTCTCATTGTGCATTTGTAATTGTCTGTTTTTTTTTTCTTTTCCCAAAACACTAATATATACACCAAAACTAAAACCAAAACCATTGCTTCGTGTCTTCATTCACACCTCAGGCTCCTGAAAGAACCATCTTCTGATGCTGCTCTTGTAGCCACAGTTAACTGCATAGCCCATAACTGTTACATTTGCTATAAACGTTTCCTTTGTAGCTGTGTCGGTCAGGCGGTAGTCCAGCTGGAAGTGGAAAGTTCACCTCTGTCTCACGTCTATGCAGTCCATAGAAGATTTTCTTTCAGAATCATCCTATATTTAACCTCATTTAACTTCCAAGGCCTTGACAAATAATCCTCACTGCATCATACCACCACCAACACCATGTTTTGCAAAGGATAACTTTCAATGTTTCTTTTCTATCACACAAAGCATTTTGAATACAAATATTTCAATTCTGTTCTAGAGAACCTTTTTCCAACTAGAGCAGGACTTCTTATTGTTTTTTTTTTTTTTAAACAATGGCTTTCTTGTAACCACTATTCCATCATTGGCATTTTCTTAAGTGCAGCGCCTGAGCTTTAGACCTCTGCAGCTCCTCATGAGTCACTTTGAGTCTCTTGGCTTTCTGATTAATGCTCTCCTTGCCCAGCCTGCTAGTTTAAATGGACTGCCATATCTGGCTAGGTTTGCAATTGTGCCATACTTTTTTTTTTCATGTTTGGATCTTGGATTGAAGAAGTGCTCTCTAAGATGTTTGTAGATTAGAATATAGTTTTATAATCCAACCCTGCTTAGCTACTCCTCACATTTATTGGTTTCTTGCCTGATTTGATCCACAATATTCTTCTAAAATTACAATATTAAACTGAATCAATCATAACATAATGTTCCACCATATCTGTCTCAGTAGTAGATTGAGTAGTTGTAACACTGAAAGCTGAGTTTTCTGCGTTCTTACTTGTCCACTGTGATGCTCTCCTGATCCATTCTGTCTGCTATCAGGCAGACAGAATGCTAAATTCACAGAGTGCTAAATTCACTCACTGACACAATTTGAAAAACGTGCATGCTATTAATCCTCACAGAAGCTGTTCAGGGAATGTGTGTCTTCCCACTCACGTCTGTATTTTTTGCAAGAGTTTTCCCTTCAGAGGATATGGCGGAATATCCGGTGGGCATTTAAACGTCCCGGATGATGAGAGCAGCCCAGTCTGGGCGTTTGGTGGGTCCAGGACCATTTTGGTGCCATGGACACAATTCTTTGTGGCGCCACAATGACCAATTCTCTAACTTTCATTGTATTTCTCTATATTTGGTGGATTTCAAGTGGGATTGACACAAGGACACAACTCAAGTGCAATGAATTAAATGTGACAATGGGGAGTCTAATAGAGAGCTAGAACTCATCACATAAACTGCTGCCAGCATAAGACATGCTGCTTTGACGAAGACAACTAAAAACAAAGGTCTGACTTGTCAAAGGAAACTGAGCCTTATAATCACGACAGGTTTTGTTTTATTGAGGAAGATTAACGAGGAGGAGATGACTGAAAAACTGAAAATCCTCAAAGTCTGCAGAAGTCTTTCTCATCAAATAACTATTTGATGAGAAATAGTTATTTCTCATCAAAACAGCCATTTGTCTGTTTTAGATTAGCAGACAAATGGCTAGAGTAAATCATTCTTGAAGGAGGCATCATTTAGCAAGTCTTTGCTGCTTTTGCATTGATTAATTATTTTTTTGATGGTTTTCATTTGTTTAAAGCTGTATACTGTCGTTGCAATGAATAACTGCATGTGAAATGATGCCTTGCTATGTTTTTGCAACAGTAAAATTATTGATTTATTGACCGCTCTCCTTCAGAGTGAGTGTACTCAAAAACTGGGCAAATACTAAGAGAAAGAAGCTGCAGGCGTAACCACAGGAGAACAGAGCTGAATGCACACGTGAGTTGATTAATACTTGGGTGCTGTTGTGGACATTTGGATTTCATATAGCCCAATAATTAAAATCATCTTTTTAATTTAAAAAGAGGAAATTAAAACTATGTGACCTTTCCTTTCCATATCACAACCTTGCACTAATGTGTTCTGATCACCCATATCAGATCCAGATAAAACATACTGATGTTTGTTGTTCTAAACTTGAAAGTCTGTATGCAGTATGAATGCTTTTGAAAGGAACTGTGTTATATCTCTGAAAAAATGGGGAGCGTTGAGGTCTTGAACCAAGAGTTGCTAAAATGTGCATGGCGAAGTTTGTAACGTTTTGATCTTTAAATATGTCAGTACGTTGTCATTTATACATGTCATTTATTATTTAATCATATCCGTTCATGTGTTTTGTCTTTGCTTTATTGGCCATTCATGCCTTTTGTTTGCCCAAACCTGTTGCATGGAGTTTTATAACCAAACTAGTATGTTATGTATGTTTTCTATAAAAAAAAAGAGCTGGGGTGAAGATGTGGGTGAAAGCCCAAAAATTATCGACAAATTGCTTTCCTAACAGTTAGATGTAATTGTGTCAGTCTTAGTTAACTGATTTGCAGCTGGCATCATCACAAATTCTATACCAACAGACTGTAAATGAAAGATAAAAAATGTTCTCCATGAAGAACCCATTTTTCCTAACGCAAAAGGCACACAGCATTTAACCCTTCTCCTTTTTTCCCTATTTGATCTGCTTTTTAGTTCTATATTTCCATCGAGAGATAATCAATCTATCCCTGAACAATCCCTGTGAATTCCTAATACGAACCTCAATCACGTATGATTGCGTTAGAAGAGTTAGCGAGGGAGAGGGGAGAGAAAGTGGAGCGAGAGAGAGAGAAAGAGAGAGAGAGAGAGGGAGGCAGAAAAGGGGGAGACTGTGGACCATTCAGCCCTCGTCGGCGATGTAACTCACCGACTGCGTTTGGAAGAGAGAGAGAGAGAAAAAACTCATTATTTGTGTGCTACAACAGAAAGCACTTTCGTTTCAACTAATTGTTGCTCCTCAGACACAAATCGCTCCCCGCTGGCTTCATTTCCAGCGCTGCAGCATCCTTGCAGAGTAAAGCCTCTGCTGCCGATTCCATTTTTTTTTCTTTTTTTTTTTTTTTTTTTTTTCTTCAGACTGCATGTAGAGGTACCATCGACGGAACAGGGAACTGGGCTTATATGGGCTCCTGTCTGAACCGGCGGCGGACGGTCTCATTGTTCAATGTGCGCGGAGGTGACGATGTGAAACAACAACCAAAGGAAGTTAGGACAACCTTGCTTCTTTTTTCCGCACGCAGAGGCGCGCATTGCTCGGCTTTAGGTGGAAACGCATAATTAAAGAGGCGTCAGGGATCCTCAGGACGGACCTGCTGTGCAGAGGAGGATTCGTGCTCGTTTTTTTTTTTTTTTTTTTTTTTTTTGACGCGGCGCCGTTCACCTGGAATACCTGAGGCTCTCCAATGACAACGCCGCTGCACCGACCTCCGAACACTGTTGCATGTTTTCACGCCTCATATTCCGGCCCCCAGCGGCCCTGCCCGTAGGTTTATGTCCCTGGATCGGTAAGTGCTGATTTCACGCTTCCTCACTCCGCCCCCCCGTCGGGTGCGACCGAAACTCGGAACAGTTACATGCAACTGTCTCCTCAAAGACGGTGCATGGCATGCAAGCAAGCAAACGATGCGCGGGACTCACAGGATTGTCTGATCAGGATGACATTTAGTTAAAAACTCTCGGCGGACCGAGACCCAGAAGCGACGTTCTGTATCCTGTCCCGTGTGCTCGTGTACCACGCAAAGGGGAGCGCATCCAGACCCGACCTCTGCCGGCGGCGACCATAGACTCTTTCTTTGCTGATCGGGTTCGGGCAGATGGCTGCTATCGCCAGCTCCCTGATCCGGCAGAAACGCCAGGCGAGGGAATCCAACAGCGACCGCGTCTCCACTTCGAAACGTCGCCCCAGCCCCAGCAAAGACCCCCGCTCTCTCTGCGAGAGGCATTTCTTGGGGGTCTTCAGCAAAGTCCGTTTTTGTAGCGGCAAGAAAAGACCCGTTCGGCGGCGACCAGGTCAGTGGGGACAATTTCATTTTTATTTTTTGTTATTCTTTTTATTACAGATGTGTGTTGTGTGTATGTAGGGAAACAATCCCCCCCCCCCCACACCCCCTACCCATCCAGACCCCCTGCGCAACCCGCCCCTCTTTGAGTAGCAGAAACATTATACTGCAGTCAGGGGCTTTAATCTGAGACGGTTGATTTTTCGTTAGAAAAATCCACCTGTTTCTTTACTGCATGTCCTCTTGTTATCTGTCGGTCCTGTACATGAGGCACAGGAGCTGTCTGACTGTAAAGCAAACACTGCCTCCCGTGACGTTATTCCTTTAGTTTCTCACTGAACTCCATTAAGAATAATTAGCTACGTTGAACTAAAATTGCTTTCAAACACAATAGATTTCAAATAAAACCTGAGAAGGTTCTGTTCTCTCACACGTATAGACTAATAGGCTCCCACCCACTCTCTTGTACCCCACCCTCACCCCCCATTCCAAACCCAAATACAAAGGCAAATTGAATGCACAGGGGGAAGGGAAAGCTGCTTTAAATGACCTAATTCAATATTAATGCAGATTGGGGCAACAGAGGGGAGATAAGCCGCACCGCAGTGCACCAAGGCTCTTTTGAGATTAAATGTTTTTAATGGTAAATGTTTATTGCAGACAGGGAGCTTTACTGCAGCGAAGGGAGGAATAGCCCTCTGCCTCTGAGAGCCGTATCGACGTACTCGTCGCCTCTGTTCCCCCACCAAACTTCGAGGTCCAGCCTTCTCCCTGTCTGATTCCTCTGGTTCTGCCCTGCATGGTGTACAGATAACAGCCTAGTCTTGCAAGTCACCGCCACCTCCTCTTCCCATTCCCTCCTGCACCCTAGTCCCCCGCACCTCCACCTCCCCCTTCATCCAGATAGTTCTGTTGTCTGATGAACGACAGCCCGGTCCACTCAGAGTCCCGCAGACAGTCTGATGAGGGATGAGGCGGACAGACATCAATTTTTAAGGCAGAATGAAAGGACAACAGATGCAGTCAACCCGTGTTCCTCCACTTAAAGCCAGACAGACTAATACGATGTCGTCCGTGGAGCCTCAGCAAACAATATCTGTGCCCATAGAGCCACAAATTTCCTAAATCTTAGTAACTACATGTAGAGCAAATTAGTCAAGCTTCTCGGTACCATTTGGTTGGTAGGTAATTCCTCAGATCTGATTAGGGAGGCAGGAAAGGCAAAGATGCTGTGTGTCTTATGTTTGATTATCCTTACATTTGCACTGATGCATTGCCATAAATAGCAGATACACTGGAGAACTGATGAATTCTGCCTGTTTAAAAGACTGTTGTTTTTCCTCTTATCCCCCCTTCCCCCCTTCGTAAGATGCACCCTTGAAACCTCCACAGGTGTCCCATAAGGGCTGCAGGCTAGGTCAGTAGCTCAGCCTCCATCCGTGTTTGCTGTGTTTTCCTCGTCTCCACTCCATCTCGCGCCCATGTCGACAACCTCCTCGGCCAGGGAGGGGTGGTGGGTGGTTAGGGGTCGGGTGTTTGTGAGAGGAAACAAACGGGGAATGGAAGGGCTGGGGGGCCTCAACACCTGTCTGACAGCCGACGACCCACTCCCTCGCTGATTTTCGCCTTCTTTATTCTTTTTCTTCATTTCCCCCTTTGTGTGGCTATTTTCTTAAAAAAAAAATTAAGCTTAATTTCGTACTCCCCCCCCCACACACACCCGTACCGAGCTCAAGCTATCCTCCAGCAGGTCGTCTGTTGCTCTTTCTCCTTTCTGCCTCCTTTCATTTCCAGTCTCATTTTCTCCGCCAATCAGTGTTGACTCTGTTTTTATTCTCGTCCCTCGTTGTGTGTCTGTAAATCTGTGTTGCTTACAACTGTGTAAGTGGAGTACAGGTTGATATTGTGTGTATATTGGTGTACATTACTATGATGTGTTTTCTTTCTTGTGGAATACGTTTTCAGAGCAGGTGATCATTCACCATCTCATTGGTCATGATGCCATCCGTCAGTGTACCTGAATGTTTTTGTCTTTCTGCATTGATATGAAGTAAATCTATTGTCGTTCTAATGGTCCGTACACCCATACAATGATCTCAAGTTTTTGTTGTCATTGAAAGTCATTTTTCATGCACAAACGCAAGCTGCAGGAATCTGTTTACACCTTCACGCACACTAATACACATGTGTACAGTACAATCGCTCTCTGCTAAATGACTGGAACTGATGAGCCGTCAGCCATTGCTCTGGGCTGCACTGTTGCCGTAATTTATGGAAGCGTAGTTACCACACGTGATTTACTGATGTGTACACTCCCATGTGCTTTCGCACACACGCATAAACACACACACACTCTCATTCTTCCTCAACCTGCCCGTGATGGATGATGAAGGGCCTGTCCTAGGAATTGATGGCACTAACCCAGGGGTAGGTGAGTTGGGAATTGACGGTCAGGGATGATGTACAGTTGAGCAGACGTGAACTCGCTCTCGCTCTGGGTCACTACTTGGCTAACTCTTTCGGCTTGCTCCCCCTTTCCATTCGCTTGTGCCTTCTTTTATTTTTTTATATATTTTTTACAATGTGAATAAATCTCAGACACTTGTAATTATTGGAGCAATCAGCTTTGGAGCAGATCCCATCTGTTATTGCTGTTGAATTAGGATCGGGCTAAAGCCGTCTTTCTTTCTCAAGAAAGCAAGTCTCTGACTGTTTATTTTTGCTAAATCATTTAGGATACTTTGTGTCTGACCAGACTGAAATTAATTGCGTGTCCTCCAACTCTTGTGAACTTGGAGGACAGTCTGGCTAATTCCTACTATATTCTTCTTTTCCAGAGGCAAATACACACATACAGCAAACATTGAGGGACTTTGTGACATTGCGTCAGATACACGTGAACATAAAGTATGATTCCTCATCACACTTTTCAGCAACCCTTAAATAAATATAACTCTGCACAGTGATGCAACGGTAACTGAAGTCAGGCGATTTTTAGCTCAGTCAGCCCTGACCAGTAATAGACCAGTCAGAAATAAAAAAATAAAAAAAAGATCTTGATGAAAGCACTCCTGACTTCCCAACACATCCTAATGTCACTTCTACAGGTACATCAAAATTTTTTATTATTCAATAAGATGGAGCAATTTTTTTTTGTCACTCATTTTAGAAAGTTAAGCCTACATACTACATACATTTATTACACAGGGACTAAAACATTTCAAGCATTTATACCCTGTATTTGGATGATTATGGCTTACAGGCAGTGAAATATGCCAAAATTCAGTGTCTCAGAAAATTTGAATATTGTGAAAATTTTAATATTGGGTATTTATAGTGTCACACCCTAATCACCTAATTAACTCAAAAGGCAAAGGTTGAGCCTCCAAATATCATGTCAAACTCAAGGCATGGCCCACCATGACTTTTTGTGTTTCCCACTAAACTCTAGCGGGAGATATACGTATAACTTGCAAGATAACAGTTGTATGCTGAAATATTGTTTTGGCACTCAAATCAAAGCAGTTTTATCTGGATACTGCAAAAAAAAAAAAAAAAATACATCATTGTGAAAGACGCTCAATATTGTTTTTCTGCAATATTGAGCAGATGCACTTAATTAATCTGAATCCATGTTGCTTGAAGTCCAGTGAGGTTGCCAGTCAGTGATGATTTGAGGTTGCCATGTCACCAACATTTTTGAAGTCCACAGTAAACTCAGCCACCTTCCAGGAAATTTTAGAGCACTGCATGCTTGCTTTATGGAGACGTCTTATGGAGACACTGATTTCATTTTCCAGCAGCAATGTGTTTGGTTCAGCGACGATACTGTTCCAGTGCTTTATTTGCCTACATAGTCACCCTTGCCTGAACCTCACAAAGTATCTATGAGTATTATCAAGAATGAGAGACACTAACCCAATTATTTTTCAACAATATGGCTGCTAAAAAAGCAACCTGGGCTTCTATTACACTTCAGCAGAACCACAGGCGGATCGCCTCCATTCAATACAGATGCAGTAACGTATGCAAAAGGAGGACAAAATGACGTGTCTGAAAATGAGCTTATTTTAAAAAAAACCTGACATTTTGGTTTAAAATATCCTTTTAAAGGTATAAATGCAAGAAAAATTCATTGGTAAGTAGAGCAGCATAGTTCAGTGTCTATGTTGCGCTCATGAAAAAGTTGCCCAATCTGCCCTGCCAGTGAAAACAATTTTGCAGAAGAGCAGTTTGATGGAGTTCCTCACTAATCACAAAACATATGATGCTAAAGACAGTTGAAAGTGCTAATAATGTTCATGAAAATGAATAATGTTCATTAGCACAGTATATAATCACTGTCCAATTTTTAAGGATATTATTACTTAAAACCAAATGAAAAAATCTCCAGACAATTAGTTTTAAAAGCAGCAGAAACAGCGCAGTTTTCCACCACTGCGCTGTGCGGAGCCAAAATCTCTGCTTTATAACAATGGTTGTGTTTTACTTTTGCACAAAAATCAAAAGCTTTTCTAACAGTGGACAGACTGCAGGCTGAGCATCTCCGGGATAAAGATCGTTTTCTACACCTGTACTGTAATTTTGTCTTGGCATTGCTAGGGGCCCTGACGCTTTTGTTGCCCTGAGCTAATTTTCGTTTCCACCTGCTCACTTCAAGAGTGTAAAGAACTCCGAGTAACGATCTGACAAATTGCCAGAAGTCCTGCACCTCAAAGATAGGGGTCGATTTGGGGTTATTGCAATGTTAAAAAAGAAGCCGCAACAGCTTTTTATAACATCAAGAAATACCTGTGTGTCCGTTCACTTCAAACAACCTACCTATAAAATTAGAGGATTAAGTTTACATATCAGCGACATTCACTCCGTAACCGCAGTTACTCAAGATTTAAGTTTGAAAACACCTCCAAGTGGTCTAAAACATCCACTTTTCCTGCATTAGCTGCAATAAATTACAGAAAAATAAGTGCATTTTCATTGCTTTTTCTCCTACTGTAAAAGTGTGCCAGTTGTGCAACCGTTTATATTTTCATAAAGTGATGCGGCAGATGGCATAAACCTTTCAACAGCTGGTAAGACTGAAATGTATGTCCTGAAATGTTTAGTGCTGTTAGTTATTTTTAAATTGTGAAAGCTGTGGAGGTTGGATTGTGAGGTTAAGTAATTCATTCAGTCAAAGGTGAGATTGATCATGGAGTGATTACCCATCTTTCTCTGGGTTAAAAAACTGAATATGATCTTTATAAAATATATTCACAGAAAAAAAAAGTTTGCATTTGTTTCCAGAGGTTTAAACAATAAAATACTTCCAACTCCTGGTGCAGAAAAGCCTTGAAATAATGAAATGCATTTTTTTATTTAATTCCACTCTGAAAGAAAGTAAAACCTAACCTTTAACTTAGGCACATTTATTTAATGTGGGAAATAAAATCAACACGACTCAATATTATTTGTACTTAATGCTTTAAATAAATAAAAAGCAAAATGCAAAAAGTTACCCAGTGTGACATTTATTTTAATCCATAATAAACAAGGCTGTCCAAATCTGCAGGTTTATTTAGTGACCATGCTCATTGAGTGTGGTGGTCAGGAAGTCTAAAAACATCTTGCTGTTTAAGAGCGACATCTTGGGATCAGCAAGTCTCATAAACAACATATTTTAAGGCTACATCTTCACCAGGGATCCCAGTAATAGTGCATGTGCTGTCTAGAGATAATAATAATAAAAAAAAACTGTTAATCTATTAAATTTAATCACTATTATCTGAACACTCCGTCTTCCACAGCCTGTGCACTCTGTTGTAGATGATGATACTGTTATTTCCCTCCGTGAATTGTATGTGATGATTTTTGGCATTTGAAATAGCTCAGAATTATCGTTTGTGTGTGAAAGTGCTGTAAGTACGGTAAAATGTTTTTCCATTGCCGCGCGACTCTCGTTCTGACACGTTCTATGTCGGGGATGCTGCCGTGGCTCTGCCTCTGGTGGTTGTGTATGCGTGTGGTGTGTGTGTTGCCCGTGTGCGTGCGTGAACTTGTGCATTTCAGAGCCACAGCTGAAAGGCATCGTGACGCGACTGTTCAGCCAGCAGGGCTTCTACCTGCAGATGCAGCCGGATGGGACCATCGACGGCAGCAAGGACGAGAACAGCGACAACAGTGAGTGGAGCATTACAGAGGCTGCTGCTTCCAAATGTTTTACCGGTTCGTGAGTCAGCTGGTTATATAACATTTTGCCACATTATATACACTTAACCATCATTCTTATGCAACTGGTACATGGGCTGGGGGAGAGGGGGCAGCTTAACGTGCTCCAAAATTAGCTTAGGGCCTTCCTAAAATGAATTTTCTCCTCTGAAATTCAGCATTTTGAAGGGAATTGTTCAGTCATCTTCACAGCGCAGCATGCCCTCATTCCTGCATCTGGTTATGCAATCACAGGGAAAGAAAATGTGTCAAATGGTTATTCAATGGTTTAAGAGCTCTCACTTTCTCTTGACAACGTTACGCTTTCCACAGCGTAAAACAAGTATTGAGATTGTTCAAACTTGTGATTCAGACAAATCCCAACATTCCTTCTGATTTTGCATTAATGTAGTTCTGCTTTAGTGTCACGTTTTGCTGTTGCTTAAGAAAACAATTTAAGATGGTCAAATGAAAATTTGGAAACCATTTTACTTTCCCCTGGAATTTCTTGCCACAAAGATCCATCCTTGAGCCACCTCTTCCAAGTCTTCCAAAAGCATTTCCATAATGATCCATGTAAGAAAATGCCTTTGCAGAGCAATAAATAAATAAATAAGCAGAGAAATAAAATCATCTACGCTTCTATCTTGAACTGCTGGATGCTTCTTTGAAAAGACTTTCCCATGTAGCATCAGGGAATAAATATATGTCAGCGCAGAACGGTCATCAGAGCAATAATGATGACACTACCACTCTGGACGGAAGCCAGTCAGGAAACTAATCATGACCTTTCTTCTCTAAAACATCCTGCCAATCTTGAAGGAAGCTGGAGCCAGAGCTGCGGGATAGCAGCAGTCATGTAGTGGGGAAAAAAAAAAAAAAAAAACCTCTCCCCATCAAACGTCACTTTATATTTTACGATGAGGATGCTGGTTGAGTTAAAGCTATTTTCAACAAATGAAGGTCTTCAGGACAAAGTAGATTACAGCATAAGAAAATTGACATATTGCATTTTGTCTGTGCAAGTTAAGCACTTTTTTTTTAAATTGATATTTTAGGTACCTCTATTGTGTTCTGGAGTGCAGGATTTTATTGTATTGTGGAGGGTTTCCCCACCTCGTGGTAATCCTTTAGTTAAGCAGTCCCGCTGGCCCCTGGCTGGAGGAATGCGGTGAATAATTCAGCCGTAGCAAACTAAAAATACCACCTTCCATTTGTGCCCAATGAATAATTCTCCATTCGAGATGCCTCGAGCTCGTACACAGTCCGAAGGAAGACACGGAAGGAGCAGCGGAAAGCCACAGGTTGTTCAAGAGAAATCCAGAGTGTTTTCTGCAGAGTACATAAACACACAACGCAACCGAAAAGTAATGAAAATGGAGCAGGGATATTTAGTATGCAGCTCTTTGCAGTGAACCATTGATTGCCGGGGTGGATTATTAGAATAATAGATTACCCACACCCTTGAACCACATCACCTTCTGACCTGCTGCATCCTCAGCCCTGGCAGATGGAATACGGTAATTTATTTCCAGGCAGCACGTGCTGTCCGCATGCTTCGCACAACATGAGCTCAGACTGAACCTAATTTACTTTTTGATTATTTGCTGTATTCCCGCAACGGATGGTTGTGCTGAGAATAGCACAAAACCGTTTGTTGTGACAAATAAACCCCCAACCAATTTCACTCACTTACACTATGAGTGCGACTGGTTGTGCATGGAGCATAGTTTTTATTTTTTTTTCAAATGTACATGTCACATATACATGTACATTTAAATTGATACTATTTTCAATGCAGTTTTGTATTCTAAATCCGATGATATTTTACATAAACAATTTTTTTTTGTGCATTTGTTTTTTTAGCCACCAGAATGATGTTAAACTGCCATCGCACCATTTTGCCCCATAAAACGTATTTGAGGAAGTACCCATACCTCTTGGAAGTTTTTTTGTATTAAAGTCACAAATTCTGTGTTTATTTAATGATTTTTTTTTTTTTTTTAATGGGCTTTTATGTGATGGAGCCACACAAAGTTGCTCATAGATGTAAAATGGAAGGTAATTGGTACAATATTTATGTTTAATCTGATACCCCTAAATCAAATCCAATGAAAGTGAAGATTAAATAATGGAGCAGTTAAAGTAGCGGGGCGATATTATGAACTTTACAGGCACATAGTGCTATTTTATTGCACAGTCAAGTAACGGCTTCCTTCTGTTGTTATAAAAATGCTGTTTATATATACATAGCTTAAAACAAATTTGACTACACAATTTGACACTTTGAAATTGGGCCTCTGTCTCTTTAAGAAGTTCCTACTCTTTCGGACACTCCGCCTTCAGCACGTTACCAACAATGCTCTTTCATTAAGCCTTTAGCAATGTTCTTAGGAAGGTTGGACTGAGAATTAGTTTGTATGATAAGCTCTGCACTTCCACCAGGCGTTTGCTAATTGCTGCTGCTGCTAGCACGGTGGCTGCTCTGTGAGGCAGAAGCTCGGCACAAGCATGATGAAACGTGACTCATTTCAAAGTGTTTTGCTTTGTTTTGAACTCTGGAATAAGTAAAGTAAATTTACATGCTTTAGTTGAAGTTTGGCTTACATGCAAAGCTGTACACCAAAACGACTGAAATGAAACATGATTAATTAAACGAACTGCCTGTTTAAATCTGAACGGTGATTAATCAGTTGATCAAACTCGGTAATTAACTGCACAGTCTGTTGGTAATGAGACACCTGCCAGTCTTAATCTTTAACTCTCCATGTAGCACTGATGACCATAAACTTTTTCTGAAGATAACACACACAGCAGCCTTTTAACATAAAGTCTCAGTTCAGCTGTAAATCATCACTCTAAATAATGTGTTGCCCAACCTTAAGTTATGTCCCTACCATCACTCCTTGACCAATAATTTAACCTTGGTCAGTACTGTTGGTCATTAACCATAAATTTATCCAATCATCTGACTGTTTTACACGTGGGAATGTTTCTAGCTTGTTAGACAGGGAGCACAGGCTCCCCAAATTAACATTTTGACAGCATCTTGTTTTGGCACTTTGCGTCAACTTATGTTAAGATGATTTCAATTAAAGCTGACATCAGTTGGCACCTCATCAAACAGACCCACCTCATAAACCTTTTTAAACAACCGAGGGGTTTAACACATTTTCACAAGTGAGATTTGCGATAGTATATGTTGGCATTTCATAATATTTAAATATTTAAATCTAAAATAGCAACTAAGGTAAATTAGCAAATACCACACACTCACATTGATGCCAAGAAAGCCCTATGCATTGGAAACTTTGTGAATTATTATCACTGTAACCACAACTAAACTCATACATCACAGTTTCACAAGTGCATCAGATGGATTACATAATAACAAAAACTATTATAATTTGAAAATTACGAGAATCATCACACGTCAAGGCTAATTTCACCATTTCTGCTGGTTATGTCTAAGTTTGGTTAATATTTCAAAGTTTACCAAAGTTACAGAAGACTTCATCCTCTGTTGGCTGAAAATCGGGCTCCCTGCTGAAAATTTTGCTCAGCATCTATTAGTGTCTTGGACTGGTCTCTGACAGTTCTCTTTGGGGAAACTGATGTTGAAATTAAAGGTCGGGATATTAATGAGAACTTGGGCTTTTGTGCAGATTAAAATTGAAAAAAGCTTTTTACGTAGAATAGGTATTTATATTGTGTTAAATTTACATTGTTTATATTCTCCCTTACATTTCCCTCAGTATAGTTTAATAAAATAACTTATTTTGTTATATTGATCACGGTCCAAAATGTCAAATTAAATATAATCTAATAACCACAGGTGCAACAGGACTACTACAAGACAAACAATTTAGTGGCTGGATCTGGATTTGGAGTTTATTTTTGAGTGTGAGCAAATGCTTTTCATGTTTCCCATTTGGCCGGATGTCCTTTTAAACCTTTTATGAGTAATTCCTGCAATGCTGGCAGTCTTCACGTTAAATAAAATTTCCTCAGCCTAACTGCAGGATTTACTTCAAGACGATTACCGTTCTGCGGGAAGATTTGCCGTTTTCAAGGATTTTTACTTTACTGATGCGTTTCAACCCACTTTATGTCCTGTTTTTTTTTTTTTTTTTTTTTAAAAAAAGAAGACCCCAAGAAATCTCTTAAATGCTCCCCGTGCCATCCAGACCTCTCTCTTTTGTCTGAGGGGGGTATTAAAGAAGAAGAATCACCTTCAGGATAGTCATCAGATACTCTTTACAGGAGTCAGTGCTGCTGTAATAATGAAATCAATCAGTGGCTGAAAATAGAAAAGCCGGACGTTTAAACGATAGCCGACTGCCGACTCCTGTCAATTCAATAAATGATTTTAGATGACAGATTAGTGCAAGAACAACGGACCAGAACTAAAGTACAATAGTTCTGCAGCATGCTATATTTTATGTGTTTTCAAGCCGGGATAAGTTGTGAATGGCACTTTTTACAAGCTCTGTCTGAGAAGAACCAATGGTCACGGAAATTATGAGGAGAGGAAATAAAAAGAAAAATCTTGAGTCTGACAAAGTAAATTGAAAGTTGAACTCCGTTCATTTATAGGCTTTTATGAATGGCCGGCCTGCAGTGGCCCGAGGGCAGGTTTAAACCATTGGCAGGCAAAAGCAGCATGTCGATATTTATTGAGTGAAATTGAATCAGCTCAGAGGACTGACCTGTGTTGGCACGTCTCTGCTTTTCCCTGCCAGTTTTATCTGATAGTCCCCATCGGCACTTGCAGAGCAATCATTTCAGCTATGCATGGAGTTCCCTGCAGGTAAAGAGTGCCTCACACCTTCACCAGGCTAATGTCCGTCAAAGTCATGGCTCAGTCAGGAGAACAAACAGAGGCAACGAATGACAATCATCATCCTACTCCTATAGACTACCTATATTTTTTTTACTATATGCTAAGTAGAAACAGAGTAACACTCCTCAGGCAGAACAACCTAGTAGAAACCCAAACTATACAGTGATATAAGGACAATTACTTGCATTAATTAGTTAAAACAGATGCTGACAAAACCCAAACCTTTGTGTGCAAAAGCAGTGTAGAACCAGACAGCAATTGGTGTTCCTTCGTTGAGTCACTGCTGTAAATCTCAATATCAGTCTTAACTGACACAATCAGTTAAGGCGCAGTTCCTGCGAAGGCTCATTTATACCCGACGCTAAATAAGATGCATATGGACAGGATTTTCTGTCCATCTTCTGCCTTCGTTTGCTGCCTATTTAATCAGAGAGCTTGTGGACGCCTGTTTCAATGTAGCAAATAGAGCAGTGCCACTGGTGTTCACGGCAGCAGTGTTGCGCGGTGTAGCTCGAGTGGCAATCAGCCAAAGGAAGGGAAATGATGACGAGGATGAAAAAATAACGACAGAACGTCTTGTTTCCTGAATCAACTTGTCACAATGTGTTAAACAGTCACGTGTAATGTAGCGCCCCCATTTATTTCAATTTCTCAGACTGTACATTGTCAAATTTCTTCCACCTTGTATTGTCTAAAACGTTGCTCTGAATTTGGAAGCTAAGTCAGAACCGCCCCCTAGTGTCTATGCTGCCTAACCTCGATGCCTAACTTTGAAAGCTTTAGGACAGTGACACTTGACAACTTCAGCAACAGGCAGACTTGTTTACGTACATAAACGCAGTGTAATTAAGGTTTCAGAAGTGTCAGTGGAGCTTAGCAAGTTATACTTGTTTACGTTTGTGATGGTGGAACACAAGAGGCATCTTCCACCGCTGGTCATTTGGTTTTACTTACTGAATAAATGTACTCAAATTAAAGGACACATTGTTCTAAAATTTCTTACATGAAATTATGCAGCTACAGTGAAATAATAATTTGCTTAACACCTTGTTACACACTTGTGCTAAATTTGTGTGAGATGGCTACCGCTCTTAAAATCTCAACCTCTCTCTAGTGTTTAAATGAGCCAGCCAGATCTGATGAGAAGGATATGTGGTAGTACGGTATGTGTCCTTCTGTTCGTTAGCCGTCAACATATACCTTCAGATTTCTTATTTACCAGCAACACTTCACCGCGAAGTGTCCCTATTACCCGTGTCCTGTTCCCTCCGCTGCTGACGGATAGCCAAAAACCACAGATCAAGGCTTGTACAGTCAAGAATTAAGTTCAAACTCAATTGTTCTGTTCTGTCCTTTTTGTATTTGATGTGTCTCCTTTGTCTCTGCCTCTCTGTGCCTCCCTGCCTCTGCTTCAATCTGCTCCGCTCTGCAGCCCTGTTTAATCTTATTCCCGTGGGTCTGAGAGTGGTGGCCATCCAAGGGGTGAAGAGCGGCTTCTACATCGCCATGAATGGCGAGGGCATGCTCTACAGCTCGGTAAGCTCCAGCCGGGCTGATGGATTGTGCAAATTTCTCCATCGCTGTCACGCGTAATTATTCACTTACACATGTTTCGCAATTGTTCTGGTCGTTGTCTGTTTTAATATTCCATTGCTGTAAATACTGAGCTTATTCAAAGCCTTTTATCTCTGCTCAGTTCAGTGGCTCCTCTTAGATGTGGTTTTGTGTTGCCCCCCCCTCCCACTGTCTTTGAAGAAGTACAGCACATGTTTTGCATTTAATTTGCCGCTGAGTTTTGTGCTTCTTTTCTAAAAGGGATTCTCTTCTCTTGCACTGGCTGCTAATAAAGGGCTAAACTGGCAACTATAAACACAAATTTTATTGAATTGCTCAACTTTCATTTCTATTCAAAATTCCTTTTACACTGCACAATCATTATTAAACACGGCGTCGTCCATATTTATTGATGCCCCTGGAAATTATGTGTGATATTTGTATTTTACTGCAGTGAAATAATATTACACTGAGAAGATAGAGGAATCCAGCTTTTAATTTGAACAGATTTATTTTATTGGTAGAAAGATCCCAAGACATGAAAATCACTGGTGCTATACGACTGTACATACAACTTAATTATATTTTTAATATTATTAAAATGATTGTTATTTCACTTTAGCAGCTTTACTCTATCTGGGGTGCCAAATGTCCTCCTTTCCTCCTCATTTGTGGCTAACTAGTCTAAATTCAGTCCAGTCAAGTTAAGATTATTTAATTAATGTTCATATGAAATACTTAGTTCACTACAAAGTTCACAGCTCCAATAACTTTCATTATTCTTTAAATTATGTTGCCTGAAATAAAGTTTTAAAATACATAGAAGTCATAAAATCATTCACCAGTTTGCATCATGATTATGTTATTGCCTTTGTAACCGTGCCCTCATATTTATATCCGTTTAATTTTTATCTTTCTTTTTGCTTACATAAACTTTGTTTTATTATGACAATTTTCCTGGAGCAGCTGCACTTGTTGGCAGATTGCAACGCTGTCATCATCATCAGAGTGGAATTAGAGCCAAATTGTCACTGGAAAATAGTCCACAAGATTACATTGTGAAATTTAGGCTACACTTTAATAATAATTAAAAAAAAAACATTTCTGTTTAATTCTTTTAGCTGACAAAAGTCATCATTTATGTAAATTAAAACAAAGTATCTGTAATATTATTTCTTCTACTTGACATCCTTCGAAAGAAAAGTTAAGTCAGAATTCATTAAGCTGCAGCTTTAGTCTTGTTCTTGCCTCTGCTGGTGCCTTCACAGTAACAAAGCAGTGACAGAATCTGCTTGCAAAAAAAAAAAAAAAAAAAAAACAAAAAAAAAAACTTTTTTTGGTCGGGGGGTTTTAATGTTTTTGACCCGGGGCC